TTTATCTTCCTCGCTATGAATGAGTTCACTGAGGCTGGGGACATTTTATTTAATCAACCAATTGAGACAAATGGGTTGTTAAAATTATAGGTGCCACAGCCACGAATTCTGCCTCTTACATTTCAAACCCAAGCTGTATGCCCTGGCCCTGTTACTTGACCCCTACCAGCTTTCGTTCGTTTCATCTATGAAATGAATAGAGTAATGTGTATAACTTAAGAGTTTGGTGGGTATTAAACAGGCAGAGGTTTGAATACACAGAATTGCCGACATAATAAATACTCAAATTACTATTATTATTGTTATTGAGGAACTCTATGCCTAGCTTTAAAAAATACCCAGTCAAAACAATTTTTTAAATAATACACAAGGGAATAAAATATGCTAAGATAGATTACGTTAAAGAATATGAACTCTATTCGTTGCATCTAAACAAGTTAAAATATAACACTTTAAAATTAAGAATCACAAATACAGAAAAATATTAGAAGAATTTTATATTTTAGCTTTTCAGAAACTCAGTGGATTATCTAACACTGACTCCAAGAAAAGAAAACCTGACCAGGGTGATTATTTTAAGAACTTGCAAAGCTATTATCGTATGTTTTTGAAATGCACGAGAAATAATTTTTGAAGTTAAAAACACTTGAAATGGATCATATTCCAATTTGAATATTTAATGGTGTTGTTAGAGCAACTCTAGATAATAGGTTAAGGTGGACTATAACCCTGCATAAATATCACTTATAAATGTAGTTAGAGCCTGGTTCTCCGCACTTAGGGCTTCCACTGGGAGACAGCCCCGCCTTGTCCTCCCTCTCTAGCCTTACCTCCTCGCCACAGTGCTTTCCTCTCAGTCACTGAATTTTGTTCTGAAGCCCATTCTGACATGGATCTGGGCCCCCATGCTAATAGATGCTAGCCCTCCTCCCTCTTTCTAGTGGTTTTTGCCCCCTAAATTGTATCAACCTGGGAAGAAAGATCCTTTCTCTGATGCACTGCGTCTGAAGCCCTAATCTGCATGACAGTCATCCTGGAGAGCTTTTTAAAAGTACAGATTCTGAACTGGTCAGGGTGAGACTGAGTCCTGCATAAAGAGTGCCAGTGGATGCCAGAGCTGCCAGTTTGCAGACCTCAGGCCTTTTTCAGGCCTCTGCTCCCCGTCATACTTAGTAGGGATTTGGCCACTTTCATCAGGTGATTTGACCCTTAGGGCTCTGGGACCCCACCAGACTTCCCCGCACCTCCACACTGGTCCTGAGGAGACTGCATCAGCATCCCTGGTCCCCTCTGGGTTGTGCTGCCCTGTAGGCGGCAGTCATGGGCATGCTGTGTGTGGACTTCGGCACTTAGCCCTGTACCAACTCTGCTCCCTCCTTCACAGGTGCCCCCCACCACCACCTCAGCTCTTCTTTCCACAGGAGACGTCAACTCTTACACCATCTTTTCCATTCAAGAATCTTGATCTTGACTGTCTCAGCATAGTATTAGATGGGAAAGTGGGGAGCTGGGAATTATGTGGTTCAGTGCTGTCGTGCTGCCTAATATGAATGGAATTCTGGGTTCAATCGTCCACCACTGGAAAAAAAAAAAAAGCCACATAGATGTCTGATGAAATAGAAAACGAACCATATAGTCAATTTTAAATTTTATAATAGCCTCAGTGGAAAGTAAAATGGGTAAAATTAATTTAAATACATTTTATTGAACCCAGTGCATTTGAAGTATTAACATATACAATCATTAAGATTTATTAATGAGATACCTCGGGTTATCTGTTGTTAATCCTCAAAATCTGATCTGTACTTCATACTTTAATGCTCATTTCTGATGAACCACTCTTCAAGTGCTCAAAACCACATAGAGCTATCATACTCGACAACATAGTTCTAATTCAGGCTTACAGGATCAGAAACCAAGCCTTCTCTTTTTCTCATTGCATTTCTTCTCTACCTTTCTCCCCTCTCCCCTTCCTGCTCCTTTTTTCTTCTTGTTGTCAACTCTATTGAGTTATAATTGTATCTGTTTGGTTACAGATTGTAAGCATACAATGCTGTTTCAGCATATATCCGTTAGGGAACAGTGGGGAAGGAACACAATGAAACAATAGACAAATTGAGGCTTGTTCCTCCCTTCCTGGACCCAGTCCTCTCCCTCCCTTGCTTAACCTTGAAGTTGGGCTTGACCTCCTGGTACCAGCATCTACATATTCTGCCCATTCATCTGGGCTGAGGAGAGGTGGAAGGAGCCATTTATGCCAGGCCCGAGGAAGTCTGGAGAAGCTACTTGTCTCTAAAGGTTTGGAATTTTAAAGTTCCATTTTGTTCCACTGCTGATTACTGCATGACAACCAGCAGTCATGATACGTAAAGGACATTTCCTTTACTCTTGTTTCCTTATACTACTTCGAAAGTTTGTCTCCTCTCACACCCTTGGGCTTTGGATTCCAGTGATGTGCTTTCAAATGCTGAAGTTTTGCCTTTTCTGGGATTTTATATAAATAGAATTATTCAGTTACTTGTCCTTGGTATTTGATGTCTCACCTTACACAATGCTTTTGAGATTTATCCTGTTGTGTGTATCAGAAGTTTCACTTAATTGATTATATTGAGCTTGTTCTAAAGTTGCCTTCCTACGTTTTAAGTTAGGGTTAAAGGTTTCAATTTACAAAGTAACCTGTGACCTAATTTGATTGTAAACAGTTTGCAAACTACTCTTATAATAAGTAGTAGAGTCTCAGCCAATCACAAGTGGCAGACTGTTAAAACTGTGTTCCAGTAATGCAGCAGGAACCCTAACCAATGAGGCTGTTTGTACCATACTTCAGTTTCTGTATGTCACATGTTTTTCACTGGCTAAAAACAAAACTAGCTTATATGGTAGGGTAGAGTATTCTGAACCATTTGTTTCAGACTGCTTCCTGATTCTAGATTCACAGATAAGTCCAGTTAAGATTTGTGGGATCAAGACATACAGCCAATCTTTAAATTTTAAAAATTTATTGCAGAAAGAGACACGTTGCCATTAATCTCCTTCAGAATACCCCCCTCGCTTTAAACACACCTGTCTCATCATGCCACCACTTTTAGTAAAGGTTCTCGAAGTCTTCTTTCATATCTTTGCAAAATGTGATAAAAAATTCTATATAGTGAGTGCTGCTTCTGATTTCCATCCAGCCAAAAGACAGGCTCATAAAAACATTACCATGTGTCTTCATCCACCTTACTCACTGGATCTGCCACTATGGGAATTCTGGCTCTTCCCCAAAGTTAAAATGGCCATAAACAGTAAATGTTTCGAATCAGTTCAGGACATGGTAGCAGCCACAACAATGCAACTAAAGAAGCTCGTGAAAGAGGACTTCCAGAACTGCTTCTGAAAGTGACATGAATAACGGGGTGTGTTCTAAGTGATAGGAAATATTTTGAGGTGCATTAATGGCAATGTGTCATTTACATTTTAAAATTTATTACAGTAAAAATTTACTATTTTTCCATCACACCTCATGATTTATCTTAACGGTAATATGCCATTGTATGGATATACCACAGTTTGTCCCTTTACCAGTTAGTGTTCTTATGGGTGGATTCTTTCTGGGCCATTTTAATGAGGCAGAAACTTCATCAAGGGAATTGTGTATTCTGAGTAAATTTTGCCTGAACCAAAAGTATGCATATGTGTGTGTTGAGGGAGATGGAGTGCACTTCCATTAAAATTGCACGTATAATACCACTACATTTTTTTGGGGTTTTTTTTTGTCGTTTTGTTTTGTTTTGGTACCGGGGATCAAACTCAGAACCTTGTGCTTGCGAGGCAGGCGGCGGCACCACTGAGCTAATCCCCGGCCCTACAATTTTTTTAACATTACAATTTCATAAATTGGCATACTCCATTCCATACTCCAATGCCAGCATCAAGTCCAGGTATAAGATCAGTGCTAAGTTGTAATTTGAAATTCAAATATTTCTCATTTCTCATTGTGGTAGGTGCAGTTTTAGGCTCTCATGGGAAAGTCTAAAAGACACTGGGCCCCTGCCTTTGTAATCCTAATTTAACAAAGACAATAGACCCTCATAATGTATGTGCTAAGTGAGGTGATGTTACTTTGACAGGAGATACTAACAAACCAACTAAATGCTCACTTTCTGCTTGTGTGATTAATTTTGTTAAACAATGCATCAGATGATAGTTAATACCAATTAGTAATACTAATTATGCATTGAGTTAATTAACTTGTCAACAATTACATTTTGCACCCTTTATGGAGAAGAAGCAGGTAAAGGAGCTGGCAGAGCCCCAGCTCTGTAGTCTGTCTACATTCAAATACCTGCTTAACCATAAAATGGGGTTAATGGGATATTCATAGCATTGTTAGAGGTGTTACTGGATTGCTCAGTAAGCAGGGCAGAGTGAGGTTCTGGTCCAGGACTTGCAGGAACACCACAGAATACTAGATGGCAGCACTCAGGACCCCTCCTTGGTGCGCTGGTTCCTGCAACAGTGCCTCACAGTAGCCCTGCTCGGCTATGCTTGTGTCTTACAACTTTTTCTTTCTTTGGGGCGTTTTCTCTGACCTTTTCTTCTGATGGAAGTGTTATTACTGGCAGGAAGTTAGATTTCTTAAACCTACCAGACCCTTGGGGTGAGGGAGAATTGGTATAGTTTATAAGTCCTGGGCCTACATTGAATCATTTTATCACAGTGCACATCTGCTTTTGCTGGGGACCAGTCAAAGACAAATTAAGGAATTCCACCTGCTCCCAGATACTTTGTGGCCTGTCCCAGGACCAGAGTCAGTGTGCCATCAACAGACAGTGTGCACTGCTTTTTTTTTTGTAACCCAAACCCAACTGCAGCTAAGCAAGCAGAAGAAATATCTCCTGAGAGAATGATTCAGTGCTAGAAACAGAATTTCCTAAGAAGTCAAAAGTATGTACTCACTGTGATTTCAAACAATAGTAATATTAAAGTCAGTCTTTGTCTCTATTTCCTTATTAAAGGACCAAGAATGCATACATTTATGCAGAGTTGTCCTATGAAGGGTAAAGAAAACATGAGAACACCCCTGTAATCCCACCACTCTGGGAGCTTGAGACAGGAGGATTGCAGGTTCAGCCCAGCCTGAGCAATTTGGTAAGAGAAAAAAGGGGGAGAGGAGTGGTGTAGCTCATTGCAAAGGCCCTGAGTTCAACACAAAGTACTGCCAAAAAAAGGCATGTAATTTCAGAAGTGTTAAAATATTATTTCTCCTTATTGTAGTCATTTCCGTTTTTTTGTACTTTCCTGAGAAGGTGAGCAGGAGGGATGACAAGGCCCTGGAACAGAGGTAGACAGGTCTTCACAGCCAACGCCTTTGACTTTGGAGATCAGACACTGGACAATGATAGCAAAGGGGTAAAAAAGTTCACACAAAAAGTCTGCTCATCTTTGCAAGGAGAGTGAAGTTCTCCCTTTTCATTCATCCAAAGTCGAGGACCTGTGCATCATTCACTGTAGTAGCTGCTGTGGATACAACATGAATAAAAAAACAGTGTCTGATCTCATGGGCATAGCATTCCACTGGGGGGATTCAGACAACGGAGATATGAGGCAATAATAAAAACAAATCTGGTAAGTATGCTGCAGAGAGTGATTGGGCGGTAGCCACAGCTTAGGCTAGGCAGAGCAGACCCTCTTGATAAGGAAACATGTAAGGAGTGAGTCATGCAACACCGGGATAAAGTCACCCTTGCAGCAGGAAGAGTAAATGCAGAAATGCTTAGGCAGCGGTGTGTTTCGGTACTTTTAATATTGAGAATGTGTTTTGGTGGCTAGGGAGAGGTCAGGCAGATGAAGAGTCACACAAGGCCCCTCCTATCCAGGGTCTCTGTTTGTCCCTCCACTTAGTGAGAGTAAATGAAAATCGTAATCATTGGTTTACTAATGTTTGAAACTAATGTCTCATGAGTTGGGGTAATGAAAGTGTTGGAAATTAGAAAGAGAAGCCCTTGTTATTCCACGTGTCTGACCTTTGCACAGCACAGTGAGCATCCCTTTACCTTCTCTTTTCTTATCCTAATCCGTTTTTGTTTGCTCTTCTACCTAGGATTTCATAAGCAGGAACCATCTTAGAAGTCAGGGCTGAGTAGGCAAGAGCCAGGAGAGTAGCTACAATGACTTCAAGAGTTTTGGTGGACATCCGAGAGGAGGTGACCTGTCCCATCTGCCTGGAGCTCCTGACAGAACCTTTGAGCATAGATTGTGGCCACAGCTTCTGCCAAGCCTGCATCATAGAGAACAGTAAGAAATCAGCGACCAGCCAAGAAGAGAGCAGCTGTCCTGTGTGCCAGACCAGCTACCACCCCCGGAACCTCCGGCCTAATCGGCACCTGGCCAACATAGCAGAGAGGCTCAGAGAGGTAGTGCTAGGACCAAGAAACCAGCCACAGGTCATTCTTTGTGTGCGCCACGGAGAGAAACTCCAGCTCTTCTGTAAGGAGCATGGGACGCTAATTTGCTGGCTCTGCGAGCGTTCCCAGGAGCACCGTGGTCACCACACGCTCCTCATGGAGGAGGTAGCCCAGGAGTACCAGGTGCGAGCCCAGGACGGGGAGGAATGGGGTCCATGGCAGGGGATTTTTAACTTCGAATTGTGTTCTCATCTGATTTCTTTTTATTCCTCTCATTTGCCTGGAGTATGAACCTAGGAAGTGCCCGCCCTCATGACCAAGAGTAGAGGTTTGATCTCTCACTTGTTGCACAAGATTGAGTAGGAGCTGCTTGGGATGAAACCAGAGGGTTCTGCTGGGTTGAGTGTGGGAGATATGCTGGCAGTAAGAGTACTTTGGAGTCAAGTTCTTGCCCCATGAGAAAGAAAATCAGCCTCTTTCTGCCGGTTCCATCCCTTGTGTTTAAAAGATACTTTGGTATCGGGCTGGATATTTAGTTCAGTGGTTCCACCTTCTGCCTCACAAGCGCAAGGTCCTGATTTCAATACCTGGTACCAAAAAAAAAAAAAGATACTTTGATCTTTTGATCTTCACAGTTTTTCATCTCAGGACAGGACAGATTTCTTCTGAGGTCAGCACAAACTCTCTTAGTTTAGTCCATGTTTAGTTACTAAGACAGTTTAAGCTTCACCTTGCTTGACCTGATGTTTTTCCTCCAGGAAATGTTCCAAGAGTCCCTGAAGAAGTTGAGGAAAGACGAAGAGGAAGCTGAGAAGCTAAAAGCTGTTATCAGAGAGAAGAGGGCATCCTGGAAGGCAAGAAAGATTTCATCTTAGGGTGTCCTGGGAAAGGAGCCAGGGCATAGAAGCAGAGGGCAGAGAAGCGTGGTCCTATCTCTCCTGACAGTAGAGCTGGAAGGACTTGCCTTGGCCTGGTCCTTCATTGCATACCTTCCAAACGAGGACAAGGCTAGGGTTTAAATAGCGAATATATTACATGAAAACTCAAGTTTTTGATATAGCTACCTAGGAGATAAGCCAGGACCAGAGGTAGCCCCTAAATCATAATTCTGGATCATAATTTACAGTTTCAATCTTTGTTCCTCTGAAAATGCTAAGTTAGTCACAGGCTGATAATTCCTATCTCGGTACTCAAAATTGGAAGGGGAGGCTGATGTGGAGGCATGAGAAGTTAGAGAGGCTGCCTGAAGTCTAGACCTCACCCAGAAGTCACAGTCTGTAGCTAAAAGAGTTAGATAAGGGAGCCTGAGGCTAATGACCTGGGAAGAGCAGAAGGGAGAAAAAAGAAAGGGAAGATGGAGTCCCACAGGCAGCATCCCTCCTCTCCATGGAGACCAGTGGTCAGCCTGAGTCACCCGATAGCAGCCTCTTTTTCTTCCCTGATGTTGAAGAATCAGATGGAGCCTGAGAGACACAGGATCCAGAAAGAGTTTAATCGGCTGCGAAGCATCCTGGACAAAGAGGAGCAGCGGGAACTGAGGAAGCTCGAGGAGGAAGCGAGGAAGGGGCTGAGTATTATAGAGAAAGCTGAGGGTGAGGTGACCCACCAAAGCCAGTCCCTGAGAGAGCTCATCTCAGACCTGGAGTACCGGTGCCAGGGCTCCACAGTGCATCTGCTGCAGGTAAAGCTTGTGGCCCCCACCCCATCCCTGGATGTTAGGGTCAGGGAATAAATAGCTTTCCTTTCTTTCTGGGACATAGAGCTAACATCCTGGTTAGGGTAGAAAAAATCCCTTCGGCCCTGTCATGCCTCTTCCTATTGAACTGTGCAGGGGTCATGAGGCAAACATAAGATAATTTCAGGGTGCAAAGCCCTGTTTTTTATTACTTACGACTGGTGGCTCCGAAGTTGATTTGATATTGAGAAGATCTGTTTCATCCAGCGATGTTCTATGGGAGTGTTCCTCAGCCTCAGCACTATTGATATTTTGTGCTAGATAAATGTTGTGAGAGACTCCTATACCTAGTAGGATATTTGGAAACATCCTTGGTCTCTACCCACTAAATCTCAGAAGGACTACTCCAGCCAGGTATGACCATCAAAACCCCTCTTGACATTGCCATGTGTTCCCAGGGAGGGCATAGGTAACCCCACCCCAGTTGAGAACCACTCTTCATTAGATACCCCTTGTCTGTGTTGCTATACTGGGAGTTTGTCATGTGGTTTTTGTTCAGTTTAGTCACAGGATAACATGTCAAATGCGAATACAAGTCCTTAAAGATTATGTAATACCAGCCCTTCTTATCCCTCTTCCCTAGGGCAGAATCACTTGACATGTTGCAGTTATAGGTATTTAAACAGGTCTTTAGGGGCTGGGCTTGTGTGTATGTAGTTTAGAAGGCTGCAAAGTATCTAGTTTAGAGAAATCTGAATGAGAAACTTGAACTAAGAGTGGAATTTGAACAGACATTTTCTATGTAGAGCGAGTAGTGTCACTAGGAACTTGTAGCACAGTGCACCTTGCAATATCCTGGAGGCTTCAGGCTGTTTCTTGTTTTCTGTTTGCCTTCTTGCTTCTTCCTGCTCTTCCTGTGCTGTGGAGTGATTTGTTTCTTTACTTATTTTAAGTGCTAGCGTTGGAGTATGCAGTTGTAACTTTCCACCTATTAGAGTTTCTCCTCATTCACTGTCTCATTTTATTCTTGCCTTTTCTTCTTTTTTTTGGTACCAGGGATCAGACTTGTGTTTGTGAGGCAGGCGCATGGTACCACTGAGCTAAATCCCTGGCCCCACATCTCAATTCTTTTTTTTTTCCCTTCCCCTCAATCCTTCTCACCTTTTTTGCCAACATCAGATTCATTTATTTATAAGTCCTTATAAAGTTAATTATCATACATACAGATTAACAGCCAGACTACATTTTAAATTGAATGTTATCTAACAGTTGATTCTCTAGAATTCTCCTATCCCAGACATCTTGATTCTCTTTTCCACACCTTTATTACATCCCTGCTCATTAAAATTTGACAGCCAAGGTATAAGCTTCAAAATGAGCACTGAGAATCAAACCAGTGTAAGAGAAAGAGCCACAAAGTGGCACACTGATTTGCTCAGTTAAGTTCCACCGTATAGCCATGATTTAAGATGGATACAGTTCTGCTATTTGGTATAAAGTGATACCCCCAATGCCTCCACTGTTTTCTGTCTTAAACTCAGTTCGAGTTGTGTTCTGAGAAGCACAGCCCAAAATAACCCCAATGCAGAGAAAATTGTTATCCCTGTGGAATATAGATCGTTGAGCTTTTTTCAGGGTGTTTCAGGCTGAGGTACAGAGCAGAAGTTAGAAAGCCAAGTAGAGGGCAAGTGAGCAGTTTTATTGAAATGAGCCAGGCAGTGAGGGTGATGAAGGTAACCAGCAGGTAGCTAAAAGAAGTTAGAGTGTGAAGTGAACCAGCTTGATGAAAGATGGGCTATCATGTGAATATGCAGTAGTTTTTATGCAATATTTTGTCTAAATTTGGACATGGATGCTAATATCATTCAGGAGGATGGAGACATGAAGACTAGCTTTTCTTTAAAATTTGAAATGCCTGTGTCTTATTTGCGGGAGGTTCAAATCTGAATCATGAGAGAGAGGCCTCAGCAGAAGTACAGGTTTGGAAATCTTAAACATGTTGAAAATGAAGGAAACAGTTGAGATCAGTGGTAAGTTAGTGGATTAGAGGAGTTGAGGAGACAACCATATTTTAAGCCTGGGGGTGGGGATTTAGCTCAGTGGTTCTGCAGCCTGCCTAGCAAGCGGAAGGACCCGAGTTCAATCCCCGGTACCAAAAAAAAGTCACTCTAACATACTGTGCGCTTAACGCTTTTAGCAACTAGAGTAGAGTGTAAGCTTCTCAAGGACAGAAGCTATCACACTGTCATCATTGTCCAAGCCCAGGCACAGTGTATGGCAAGTAACAAATGATACAAATATGTTACAGTACTCATACACATTTGTAACAAAGGAACCATGGATGGAGTCATTTCCTGATGTATTCCCGTGAGTTTTCAGGGACAGTCTGCCCTGGGTTCTTCTCTTTACTTTGTGGCCTCCACATTTGGATTATTTATTCTGTATTCCTGTCATATTGTGAGGTGGTAGAAATGGGATGAGGTAACCCTATTACTCCTTGATTTAATCTGTCTTTTTCCTCCCTAGGATGTGAATGATCTCACACAAAGGTATGTGTAAGAGAATATGAGGTGCTGCTTTTAGATTGCCAAAAGCTGTGATTATCCTGTAGTTCATGGGAAAGGAAAAAAAATCATAGGACAGACACTGATGTCTCAATTGCTCATTGCATGAGAATTTGGGGATCCTAAAATAAAGGAAATGGACTAGCTTCTATGCTAGGAGAATTTGGACAGTAGGGCACTGGGTGTAAATGATTGTGGTGTTAGTGACTTCCATAGTACCCTGTCACATGACCGCATTTCCACAAACCTCTACTTATTTTCAGCTCTGGTTCTTGTCGTTACAGTTACCTAAGTATACACAGGTATGTTCTTTTCCTGTGCATTTTTTCTGAAGGAAATTCCCACCTCCTCTGTTTCCCAGTCTGAGAATTTGCTCTTGGAAAAATCGGGAAAATCTGCCTTAAGTTTCCATTTCTCTACCAACATTGGAATAACCCAGCTATTGCTTCCTGGTCCCTCAGATTTCCATTATCTCAGTTCCAGTAAAACACAGACCTGAAACACGGGAAGAATGGCTTTGGCCGTAGAACACATCTCAATTCTTACCTGTCACGAGGTCTAGAATCTCATCCAACAAGGTAACCTCTAGAGCTGTCCACACATCAGGCACCCTCAGGCTCTTCACAGAAACATGAAGTACAGAGCCTGTTGTCATTCCCAGTTTGTATGTGAGCACATCTCCATTCTCTGGCTGGAGTCGTATTCCTAGAAATGCCGAATCCTGAAATTCAGTTCTCTACACCTTCCTCCTAGGCTCCTCTCAGCTGGGGCCCAAGTCCATAGACTTCTGAAGGAGTATTTAATACTAGATGCTCCAGGAGCAGCTTTCTGCTATTCTTCCTGTCAGCACAGACACCTGTAGCTTTTCCTGGTGGACCCTCTGAGGTGGCACCAACATCTTAAATATTTGCATCTTCTTTAGAGATAGCAAAGGATTTGCTAGGCTTTCTTCTAATCAGTTTCCTACTATCTCTAGGACATAAAATAAGGGAAATTGTTGTATTTTATAAAAACGAAAAACAGAAAATGAGGCTCTAAGAGGTTAAATCTTACTGAGGCGTGAGCTGGTTTCTAGTCCAGGTTTTCCTGTCCAGTGGCACATCTTTCTGCAGAACAATGCTCACTTCAGGAAAAAGTGTCACGAAATGGGCCAGGGAAGTGAAGGAGATGGGTGTCGGAGGAACCCAGGGTCAGCAGTGTGGGGCTCATAGGGCCTGTCTTCTTTAGGAGTGAGTTCTGGACCCTGAGGAAGCCCCAAGAGCTCCCCACCAAGCTGAGAAGTGCATTTCGAGCCCCAGATCTGAAAAAGATACTGCAAGTGTTTCGAGGTGAGGAGATTCAGGGAAAGAGTTTGGATGTGGAATTACCATACTGGTAAGAAATAAATCAGATAGAGAGTATAGCTGGAGATTGGGAATGGAAGTGGTGAGGGAAGCCACAGAGGGAGGGGCATCGTGTGCTAAGGAAGTTGCAGTATGTATTTAAGACGAAGTGAAATTACCAGATCATATTCTCCCAGAATTCCTCATCATTTTCTTTAGTCTGGTAAGGAGATACCAGACCCAAGACACTGATTCTAGTCAATATTTTTTACTTTTTATTGTTACAGCACTCACAGATGTCCAAAGCTACTGGGGTGAGTAGAAACCATGGCCTCTTTGAGCTGATATGCCTGATCATTTTCTCATTCTCTTCTCCAAAGAAGCCCACATATTCTCTCAGGTTAGAGGTGTCTCTGCCTCCCCTGCCATATGTCTAGCTCTATTCCCCCCAACTACTTCCTGTGTTCCCTCATCTCAGTGTGACAGATCCCATGTGTCATTGTTTTCTGCTGATGTTGTGCCTTTTCCTACAGTGGACGTGACCATGAATCCACACTCTGCAAACTTAAATCTTGTCCTGTCTAAAAACCGGAGACAGGTGAGATTCGTGGGTGTTAAGCTGTCCCAACCGTCCTATCTGGAAGAACATTATGACTGTAGCATCCTAGGCTCTCAGCACTTCTCCTCAGGAAGATACTACTGGGAGGTGGATGTGACTAAGAAGACTGCCTGGATCCTGGGGGTGTGCAGCAATTCCACGGGACCTCCACTTTCTTTCAGCCAGTATCCTAACAGTCAGAACACTTACTCCAGATACCAGCCGCAGACTGGATACTGGGTGATAGGGCTACAGCACAAACGTGAATACAGAGCCTACGAGGACTCTTCTACCTCCCTGCTCCTCTCCATGTCTGTGCCCCCTCGCCGCATTGGGGTTTACTTAGACTATGAGGCTGGCACCGTCTCCTTCTATAATGTCACAAACCACGGCTTGCCCATCTACACTTTCTCTAAGTATTACTTTCCGACAGCCCTTTGTCCATATTTCAATCCTTGCGACTGTGTAGTACCAATGACCCTGAGGCGCCCAGGCCCTTGAGCTCTCTGCTGCCCACACCACAGCTGAGTGGTGCCCGCCACTCCGCAGCTCCTGTGTGAGCCTCTTCTGATCCCTGTTCTCTGTGTTCTTGCCCCTTTCCCTGGCAATATTTACCCATTGGTGGGATGCTCCCAGCCGCAATAGTGAGCACCCCTGGCAGTGAAGGAATGGGGGAGCTTTGGCCATTTCATCCTTTAGCATGGCGTTCATTGGTGCATGGGGCCAAGGTAAGAAATTCTCTTCTGTTAATTTTCTGCGAGTTCTGTACTGAATGAAAAATTGAATTCAACAAAATTCATTCGATAGTTTTTGAGAGATAATCATTTGTCATTTTTATTGTTACAAGTACATTGATTTGTTTTAATTGTTAACCCTACCACAATGTCCTAATATAAATTTGTTATTTTTTACATGCAAAAATAGATTTATAGGCTTTTTGTTCATTCATGTTTGTAAAAGAAATTGACCCATAATTTTGTATATCTTTGTCAGGTTTTATAAAATGCAACAATGAGCAAAGAAATTACAGTGTAAGTACATACAAGATTGGCTGTTAAAAATGAATCATAATTTTAATGGCTTTAAATTCAAATTGAAGAAATTGTAATTTCAGTTTTCACTGTAACCTCTGCCAACCTTTAGCCTTTATTTTAAAAGTTTAAGGATATGAATCAGATATGGTGATGTATGCCTGCAATTCCCAGCATTCTAGAGGCTGAGGCAGGAGAATTACTAGTTCAGGACCAACCTGGACTACCTAATGAGTTCAAGGATGGCCTGGACTACATAGTGAGACCCTGTCTCGAAGAAAGCAGGGAAGGGGGAGGAAGGAAGGAAAGAAAAACTTACGGGTACCAATCAAAAAAATATACTCGCCAAATGAATTGAACTTAAAAATGGAGGGCAAGAAGAAAATGATCAGTCCAGTGCAGGTTTTTCTCTTGCAGTGAGAGGAAAATGCAAAGTAAAAATCTAATCTAACACGCTTTTGAAAAGAGGATGGTTTATCCTAGCTTCCCTACACCCCCTTTTCTTTATGCCCAAACACAAATAACTGGTGAATGAGCTCTATGACTTTGGTATGGAGGGGCTATATGTTTTCTGAGCCAACTATAAAAGAAATGAGGTAGATGTGAAGGTAGAAACAAATACAAAGGGGAGACAGCTGGTTTTCTGATGCAGCCAAGACCCCGTGGTGACTGTTGAACACTACAAATGTGACTAGTCTCAACTGAGATGTGAAGTAAGTATAAAACGTGCACTGAATTTTGATAAGAAATGTGAAATATCTCATTGACAACTTTTATATTGTATATTGTAATATTTTGGATATATTGAGTTAAATAAAATTTATTACTCATTTCACCTGTTTTATTTTACTTTTTAATGTGGATACCTGAAAATTTGAAATTACATACTTGGCTCACATTTTGCTTGACAACTGTGGTCTTGAGCCTGTGATGAAATAATTTCCACCTCTAAGAGAGCCCTAGAATAGGAGCTGGTGGACTGGGGTTCAGGAGGAACACCAAGACCCATATTCATTTTTACAGGAGGGGCCGGGGATTTAGCTCAGTGGCGCTGCTCCTGTCTGACAGGCACAAGGGTCCTGAGTTTGATCCCTGGTACCGGAAAAACAAAAAAAAGACTGGCATTTTCACAAGGAACTCTGGCCCCCACACCCACACCAAGACATTTTTATAAAAGGTAATGGCAGAGAGAAGACTTCAACATATCCAGAAATACAGACTCTGAAGATGAGGAAGACATCATGGCCAGACAGTCTGATTCTCAAGTCTGTCCCCTGCCTTTAGCCCTAGGTTGGGCACTTGAAGCTTCTTCATGATTTGAGGAAGTACTGATTCGTTCTGGCTCTGCTCTGTATCTGTGGTTAATAAGAAATGCAGGTTACAGTAAAAGCCTACAGCTGGTTTGTTGCGGGGGCGGGGGGGGGGTTATTGGAAAGACCAAGTCTGTGGAAACCCAGCAGCCAGATGTGTAATCCCCATCCTGACCTGTCTGTCAACTGGAAGAAATAAGAGAGGAAGAGATCGTGCGGGCAAACAGGCTGGTGTAGGTTGAGAGAGAAGCAAGAGCTAAGTAGTATTCCCTTCCCACTTATTTTCCCATACAGTGAGTTCCAGGCAAAAGGGTTTGGGCCAGACCTTCTCCACTGTAGAATAAAACTGAAGTTCACTGGGAAAACCCAAAGAAGTATATCCAGGTGTCCTGGGAATGACCTTAGATAATCATGCAAGCCAAAGTCCTCACTGGAATCCTGTGAGACCTGAGGAAGGTTTGCTCAAGCTGAAACTTGAGGACAATTACTAGTGTAATTTGGCAGCCTTGCGACCTTTTTCTGAGGGGTCTCAGGCAGAGGCCTCTCTCCTTGACTTTTTTCGCATGGTAACAGTGTTGTAAGCTACTATAAAAATAAAATTTAGGGCTGGGGATTTAGCTCAGTGGTTCTGCCACCTGCCTTGCAAGGACATGGTCCCGAGTTCAATCCCCAGTACCAAAAAAAATAAAAACCTAGACTACATAACAAGACTCTCAAAAAATTTTTTGTTTTCTTTTACAGTGATTTTGATTTCTAGCACTTTCCTTACTTAGTGTTTCTCTTTATGTACCTTATTTGTTTTTTCATGGTGTCTATGTTTTACATTATAGTATTGATTTTTTAACCATAATTATTTTAGATTTCTTGTCTGATCATTCCAAAAGCTATGTCAGATCTGAGTCCAATGTTGATGTTTACTTTGTCTCTCTAGAATGTTTTTTTGCCTTTTCACACAACTTCCTTTTGTTGTTGTTGTAAGCCTGACATGTTGTATCAGGTAACAGGAATTTAAAGAACTTGAACGTGCTGTTTTGTGTTAATTTGAGTAGGCATGGAGCTTTGTTTAATGTTTGCTGGAGCTGTAGGGGTCTTGGAGACTTTGAAATTCTGCATCCTGGCTCTTCTATGTTTGTTCAGTGGTGCTATTACTGGATGCTGGAGTCTTTTTAGAGGTGATTTTTGTGTTTGTTTGTTTATTAGTTTGTTTTTGTCCAAACAAAGTATTGGTCAAAGCAAGCGTAAATGGTGGCAAAACTTTTACATTTATTAAAAGTAGGAAAAAACCAGGCTCTTCAGAACCAGATTGGACCAAGTAAAGGTAGGGGAAAAAAAAGAAAAAAAAATTGAAAATATGCCCTACAATGTAAAGAGACACCAAAGCAAGTGCTTAATGGCAGCTATCCCTTTTTTATATTTTTTACACTGGCCTTACGTCCAGGTCATCTTATCAAAAACCTGCTCCAGTTCTCCAAATATCCACATACAGGGTTTTGGGAACTGTTCTGCCCATATATCCTGGGATTTTGCAATTAGCAGGTCATGCCTACATTTCTAGCCAGTTTTTGCCACACCTTGCCTTTCTATCTCACTCCTGGGATCAGACACAGGGCTTTTTGCCCCTGCTAGCCCAATCATCTACCATGAGCTACACCACCAGCTTCTTTGCCTTTGAGTTTTCCTAGAAACTCTTCCTTAAATTGCCGAGACCCACACAACATAGGGTCCAAAGCTGGGGAGAGCGAGGGGAGATCAAAAAAATTGAAAAATAACAAGAAAGAAGGATATATACCAAAATTGTGCTTTATAGCTGGGACCAGGTAGGACCATAGCCCGATGAGCTAATGGCTGCCTGGAGTCCAGCAGTTCTTTATTTAAGACAAACAGGAGAGAAGGCGGGGTCTTTCTCTGGGCTCTTCATTATGGGGACATGATTTGTTTTTTTGGAGATAAATTCCAAGAAAGGAGGATGGGAATGGATGTATCTCCCAGGAATTTCTCACTATCCAGCTAATCCACACTCAGCCCCCAGCAATTTGTCAAAATTAAGTGTAGCTACTGTCACTGAAAAACAGAATGCTGACAGCGTGAGGAATGAGCCCTCTGTAACCTCTTCTGTCCTTTTGTGCCTGCGATGAAAGAAGTCAGTCAAGACACAGAAGTAGAAGTAGAATTTATTGTAAAGTAGATGTAGAGAGAGAAAGGCATTTTCCCTCCAGTGGAAGTCTGAATATCTTTGTATGCACACAAGAGCTACTCCTGTAGTTCAGGAAACTATGGTAATTATGATGCTTATCAACATTAATTTTAGAAGTTACTTTGGAATTGTAAAATGTCTTCCTGACCTTTTTAGATGGCTAGTGTTCCCTCAGGAGCCTTAATCATGTAAGAAACTAACCAACAAATTTTACAAAAGCTAACTTCTTCATTTAAAGCCCGTCCCAGCCCAGGGGAGGGTTTTAAAGCATATTTTCTTTCCTCCTATCATTGGGCCATAGGCTATGGCAACCAGAAATGCTGTATGTTTTGTTTTAGAAATAGAGGCCCTGTGTCTTCAAGTCTGAGACCTAATAAATGGTCATAAATATGTTATACATTGAGGTCTTTTTTCTTAACTATAATGCCACAGCATGCTATTTTAGATCCTGCTTAGTCCCTCAGGTCTGCTAATGTCTCCCAACCCCCCGAAACACTACCAGTTTATGGGACATGCAACTTCTGTAGATATAGGTACAGACTGCTTTTCTCTATACTTTCTCTATATTATGTGTCTCCAGATATCAGGGTGGCAGTCTGTCCTGTGACTTTAATTCTCTGATGGTTCTAAGAAAATTGATTTTTACTTGGTTCAGTTTTCTTTTTTGAAAGGATAAGAGTAATGACTTTCAAGCTCTTTACATGTTGGAACCCAAACTGGAAGTCTCTTATGTTCTTTTCTATGAAATCCGCAGTAACTCTTTCTTTAGCAACCTCTTTCTCTGCCTAGCTATGTCTCCATTTTTTAGGTTGCTGGTTCACATTAGACTCACAGCGATAGCCAGAGAGTAAAGAATATCTTCCTGGACTCCACAGTGGTAGTGTTGGTCAGTGTTTTTTTTCCCCAGTCACATCCCCACACCCGTGGACACCATGTCCAAAGCTGGGGAAAGCGAGGGGAGATGAAGAAAATTTGAAAAGAAAGAAGGATATATACCAAAATTATGCTTTATAGCTGGGACTAGGTGGGACCATAGCTTGATGAGCTAATGGCTCCCTGGAGTCCAGCACACTCTTTGTTTATTTAAGACACTGAAGGGAAAAGCGGAGGCTGCGCTCAGGAATGAGAAAAACCCACCTGTCCTGTGGTAAGACAGCAGGGTAAACGCTGCTTCATTTGTTCATGCTGCATGTCTTTTGGTATTTTATAGCACTCTGTTTTATACCTACTTCAACCACACGGCAATTCCCACTCTGTTCCCAGTTTTGCCAGGGACTTTTTAGCCCCCATTTCTTGGTGATCTTCAGCCAGGGGGTGAGGGGAAGTGATTCTAAGTCAGATATGGGGCAAATTCATTTAAATGTCCTTTTAATGTCTGCATTCTTTTTTGTGTGTGTGTGCCGGAGATCGAACTTGGGTCCTTGCACTTGCGCAACAGGTGACGAAACTACTGAGCTAAATCCCTGGCCAATCTCTGCATTCTTTTCACCATGTGTTTACCATGCCTGAGACTGAGTCACTAGGAACATCTGCATCAGAATTATTGACAAGTATCTCCCCAGGATATTTATATCTGTAATTCTCAGAATCCCCTGTATTCTAGTGCAAGATGAAAAACTGGTCACAGGGTAAAAAAACACAACTTACAATTGCAAACACAAAATTTACACATGAGAGGCCATCATCTTTTAAATACACTCCAGTCCTGTGCAGGTACCTGCTTTAAATTGAGAACTTTTGTAAATTTCATTGGTAAGTTTTTACATGGTTAAGGCCTCTGAGGGAACACTGGCCATCTGAAAAGGACAGGAAGACATTTTGGAATTCCAAAGTAATATCTAAGAAAATAAGTCCTCAAGCATCCTAATTACCATAATTCTCTGAACCTCAGGGGTAACTCCTGTATGCATAACTTCCACACAAGGTAGATGTCTTCATAATATTATAGAGAGCTGAATTAGGTAGAAATATTATAGGCAGTCAGATAGAGCTAGGTACTAAAGAGAATCAGGACAAAGGTGAAACACATCGCAACTATAGCTGGAGACACATCTGTTGGAGACAGGACCTCAAGATAAAGACAAGATGACCAGACCTGTATACTTCCTCCAAGGACAAACACTGGGCCTAATGAAGTCTAGATAGACATTAGTCTTTGTTCTTTCCATCCACACTTGTTATGTGACTTATTTCCCAATTGGACTACTATTACCTAAGTGACTATACTTGTAAACTTACTGGTTGATAATGGCTGTGGCCCAGGTTGTGCCCATGTGGGTTTTATTCCAT